ACTCATTATGTACAATACATTGTGACTTTCATAAAAACAAAAGCTACATTTAAATTATCCACAGTGAATCTGTTATAGGGCACCTCAATTCAGAGAGAGGCACCCCTGAAGTCCCCAAAACCTGCCTGCTCTAAGTGGGTTCTGCCATCCGCCGCAACAAGACAAAACATATAAAGCTTTAATGAAAAGTGACTTTAATACAGTGAATATACAATATGAAACACAAAGAATGTAACTTCTAAATCAAACACCTGAAGTTACCCATCCCCTCGTGGGCAAAAGTCAACCCAAAAGGGATTGGCCCAAAGCAAGGCCTGAAAGCCTGCCACAAGACTAAAGCACCTTCTGGCCGGGACCCATGGAAAAGGGTCAGAAATGGCCAGACAAATCTGAGAGGAAAAGAGCAAAATCAAAATCAATATAAACACTGCCATGGTCACCTCCCTACAGGTATCTCACCCACATCTGCCTTAACCAGTCCAGGGTCAGGAAACAAGCCCGGTTTCTTCATCACATGTTTGCTGCTCCATGTGGCTTCCTTAGGTCTCCTTCTCCATCTGCCTCTGCCTTCTCTCTTCTCTCTCCTTTTTCTCTGCTCAGTTCCACCCTCCTTCTGGGTGGGGCAGGGAACCTGGAACTTCCCTTCTCCTAGGGACCACCCAGTTACAATACAATTAAAAGTCGCGGTTTACCTAGTGCAACCTCCAAGTTTGTCAGTTTTTTTTTCTTAATAATTTCTTATCTGCTTCTGTATTTCTTTGCTGTCTTGGAAGTGTACACACCCCAAATCCATCCCACACTCATCACATACACACATACTGTCCATTTTTCCAGCACTTTCTGCCACTCTCTTCCTCTGCCCCTTCCTTCCTGTGGGTGTCGTCTTCTACCCTGGGGGTATTCCCTGGAACTTAGTCTGGACTCCAGCCTTTTGTCTTTCCCTTCCCCCCAAGGGTCACTGTGTGGGCATCTGTCTTTCGGAACCACAACCCTGACCCCATTCTGTTCAGTCTTCAGCCAAAGTGAAGTGCAGTCTGAAGTCGAGTCCCACCTCGGCGAGCCCAGCGGGTTCTCTGCTCTCTCCGCGGTCCGTCTCTCTCAGCCCCGCCGCCGGGACCCCAGCTTCCCGCTCGCTGAGCCCCTCGCTCACCCTCTGTCTTCCCTTCAGTTCCCTGTCTCCGGCGAGCGCCCCGCGGCCTCTCTTTCCTGCGTACAGCGGTTTTGATGTTTCTCTTCCGCTGGAACATGAAGAGAAATGGAGACTGTACCTCCTTCTCACCTCCAGGATTTAACTCAGGGTGTGGAACAATGTGGGTATTTAGTCAGCACTTGTTAAGTGAGGGAACAGAGACAACAGACAGGGAGCATTTCTTAAATGCCTTCTGTGCTCAAGCATCTCTGACCTACACTTAAGTTATTTTCTTCTTTTCTTTATTTTTTAACATTTAAAAATTTTTTATGCATACATCTATTTACATTATTGTTCATTTTAAACCAATGTTTAGCCCCTCCCCCCCACCACCGGTCATCGCCACCTTCCCTCACACTCCTCCCTCCTTGCCTTCCAGTCCCTCTCTGTCTCCTCCCCTGTGGGATATCTTTATAATCGTCTGTTTGTTTTTGTTTTGTTGTGTTGTGCTTTGCATTATAATAACAATACACTCCCCCCCACCCCCATTCTTTGGTTCTCTTAAATTCCTCCTAGAGTGACTTACACTTACCTTATTGACCCGCATCCGGACACTCCTGTCCTCTGCTTATCTTTACCGGTTTCACTGTTTTGTTTGTTTGCTACTACTGAGGAAAACTATCTAAAACAACTCTTTGAGTACACTCCAGAACAGCTGTGGGCCTTGGAAAGGTAGAAACAGAGAAGTCAGCCTTGCATCCTTTGGAGGTAGTTCTGTTGAGCAGGGAATGAGCAAGAAACACACTACTACCAGAAACCCTGCCTGGAGAGTAAGCGTTTCTAGCTGGTTATTATTGCTGTAAAGGTCAAATAGAAATTCTTACTCTGTCACACCCCTACTGTTTTGTTTTTTAAAACAGCTTACTTGGTGCTCTTTTGCCTCCTCTAAATTGGTCAAAGTTATTCAAAAGGGCTTAATACTTAGCTTATGTGGTTGCAGATTAAAAATACTCTTAAAGTAAAAATTTCTGATTCCTAGGTGGCATTAGCTGAAGGCAGGGAGCTATAGGGGAATAAAATTTTACCTCCACCTATCTTAGGTTTTCATCTGGGACTTTTATCAAAAAGGCAAATTAACAGAGAAAAATAAACAGAAGTTTATTAACATGTATCTCTCGTGTACACATGGGAGATACTTAGGGAATAAATGAGCAACTCAAAGAGAGATGAATTCAGGATTAAATACCATCTTAATATAAAAAGGGGAGAGGGATGGCCTCTTAGGGAGACAAAATGATTTTTAGGAAAGATGAATGAATAGATGGGCGGTCTAATGGTTTGTGACAAAGTTGGGGGTAAATATGACAATTGCATTCCTTTCAGAGGATTTATCTCTGTTAATAAGGGAAGTTCAGAGAAAGTCTCTTCCTGCACTTGCTATTCCCCAGGTATATTCCACTTAAAACAACTAGTGTATCAAAGCAGCATGGTTTGGGCTGTCACTCCCCGCTAGCCCTCAGAGCTCACCCTCGCTAGCTGTTACATTCCCAGGGCCAGTGCCTGGTACCCCAGATTTAGTATATGCATGGGGAATGTGACAAAATGGGTAGATGGGGAAATGGGAGAGAGTGTCAGGCAGCTTTGGAGATTGGGTCATGCCAAACTTCCAAAGCTGCTTAAGAGTTCCGCACAGAGGAATATAAGAGAAACAAATAAGATGTGGAGGGAGTATGTTGTCATTACAATACAAAACACAACACAACAGACTATCATAAACCAGAGCTATCCTACAGGGGAGGGGGACAGAGAGGGACTGGAAGGCAGGAGGAATGTGGGGGCTGTGGTGATGACGGGTGGGCGAAGTGGAGGAGAGGGGAAGTCAACTTCGTTTTAAAATGAACAATAATGTAAATAGACATAAATTTTAAAAGAAGACTTCTGCACAGGAGTAAAGATACTAATCTACTATTTGGAATGACTCCTCCACTCCATGATGTCATCTGACTTTCAAAACAATGTCCTGACAGACACAGCCACGTTAGAGCGAAAGCCCCTGGAGCCAGACTGTTTGCCGCGTCTTGCTCTGCACCACATCAGCTGTGTGATATGGACAAGCCACTCCACCTTCCCAACTATCAGTTTTCTCACCTGTAAAACAGGAACAATAATTATACCCTGAGAGGAAATGGCCACAGGAGTTAAGTCAGATAGTGCAGGAGAAGTTCTTAGCGTGGGGTTTCATCTCAGAAATTCCATATTCATTGTCATCTCAGCGGTTATCGTGCTGAGAGCTGTTCAGTGTTCCACATCTATCCTCTGCTTAGATTTTCTTGAGGGTAAGGACCATGTTTTGTTACTCTTATATCACCTCCAAACGTGGGGCCTGTCATGGATTAGGTATTAACAAATACTTACAGAACCGAATGAGGCAGTCACGTAATTGTTTTAAAGTCAAAAGGAAGAAACCATTTCCTATCTCTTTTATAATATACGTGAATTCTTCCTAGGTCAGTCCCTAGTGTATAATCATTTTGGAATTGGGGAAAATAACCTTTGAGTTATAAAATAAATTGTCTAGGTTTTATTTACTTGTTAGATTAAAAAAAAAACCGTAGATGAAAGCATTATACTATTCGTATATTCACAGTATCCAAGCTTTTAGAACTCTAGAGAAAAATGGACAACTCTAGAGAGAAAATGACAAAATGAACAAATAAGAAAAGGGGAATATGAACAGATACAGAAAAGGTAGGGCAAAGGAGTGCTTTACAAATGAAAGCAGATGTATGAAATTACAAGCTGTCAGATCAGCAATGGAAATGAAGATGATAAAGTGGCTCTTCCCATAGATTCTAATTACTCATTTTGCCCAGTCCTGTCTTCTTTCCCCATAATGTTCCTGAGAAGGAGGGAGGGGGACGGGAAAGCTGAAGCAAGAAACAGAGTTTCCATCAGAAGAAAACACAACTCTTAAGAATCACGGGTATTTCTGATCCCAAAGTTGTGTATTTTGTGACAGGAATTGTTGCTTCTGCATTAGTTATTTCCCTACTGAATGTTTTTCACCTCACTGTTCTGCTGAATGGCAAAAACTCCATGACAGCACAAAAAGTCGGGCTGTAAAGTTTCTCCCACGGGCAGCTTACAAACACAAGTGTTGTTAGTGGCCAAACTCTAGTGATAGTGGCAGGTGGGTGGCCTGGAAATGAGGTCATTTCCATGGACCTACCTGAAAAAATGTGCTTAATAATGGCACCCATAATTAGGTTGGTTTCCAACAAATTAAATGGCAGTCCGAGGAACAGAGATTTTGACATCCTCTAAAAAGCTGTATAGATACGCTCCCTCAATTTTTTTTTAAGCTTTAAAAAAATAAAATAAAATAATTGGGGAAATTTTATTTTCTCAAATTTCAAATATGTAATAGTCATATAGATGTGTATGAATAAATACAACATGTAAGTTATACAACATAACAATCAAGATAAATATTATTTTATGAGAATTTTAAACTGGTTTTATCACTTAAAATTTTTGTTACTCACTTTTAAGCAGCAAAACTTGAGACATTTAAACACAACCATATAAATGGCAATAAATATGCAGGCTTCTAAGAGTTTATTTATATTACAAATGCACACACAGATATCTAGATCTAAGGCTCTTCCTTCCAACACCCCCTGCAGATACGTGTGAGTATATTGCAATTAACAGTGCAGTGTGTTGATTCAAGGGCCATTTGGTAAGAGTCCCTTCTCCCTAACTGGTTATTGGTTTGTTTTTCTTTGAATCTAATTTTTTTTTTTACTCTGGTAATTCAAATATCTTAAACAATATTGCTTCTGAATTATTTTTTCTTTCTCTGATTCAGTGATCTCTAGCAACTACCAGACCTGTCTCGGCCTTCTGATGCATTACCCAAACATTGGGGATGTACATTCACTGATTCTTAAGGCTCTCTTCCTTCGAGATCCAAAGGTAAGCTTTCCAGTTAGGACATACACAAGTGGTTAGAAATTTGTTTTCTCTGTGTGACTCCAATTGTTCCTCATGTAGAATGTCTAATGGTGATGAATTGCCTAGAAATGTCGAGAATTGTAGCCCAAAACTCGGTTACTTCACTGGCAATTGCTTCAGGAGGCAGATTAAGTGGACACTGTCTGCAGTTGAGGCACATGCCTTCTGCCTTCCTCATAACCCAGGGAAATAGTTAAGCGGCTGCCCCTTTTAGCTACACTTTGTTCCCATTGCTCCTCCCTAAAGTAGCCAATTTAACCAAGTAGAGTTTTGGGGGAAACGTGACCAAGACTTCAGAACCATGGAGAGGTCCAGTTTTCTAAGAGATGATGCTACAACGCAATACTTAATTATTTGATATCATGAACACGTTTCTTATGTTATGGTGAAAAAGAACCTAATAAAATAAGGATCTAAATACTCTAATGCTGATTTCTCTATTTGAACTTAAAGCAATTCACCAAAATTTTCTTTACACTTCAGAGAAAAAGTGTGCTCTTTTACAACTAATGTTATATTTCTTGAAAATAAGAACATTTAATGATCTAAAAAAATCTGTGAATCCTTGATGCTTTTGAGCCAAACAAAAATATTGGATGAAATTTAAGAGAGAAAGCTTCAAACACGAGTATGAGAGTGCCAGGCGCTGGGTGGTAATCCCAGCCTTTGGCTCTTTGGCAGAGCTCCCAGCCGCCACGTTGGCAGTTGTCGAGCTGTCTTTGAGTCAGTCTGTCTGCGGATTCCACTGCCAAAGCGCTGTCTGATCGACTTGGGCCTCCAAGTTCAACTTACATTTCGATTCTAAAGGATTTCTGCCCTTTCCTTGCTTGTTGACTTCACAGTTGAGTACATCCTCTCGTTAGTCTTTGATTCATTTAAAGAATTGGTTTCCTTGTGACTATATCCATTTGCTGTATAAATATAAGAATTTCTATCATTTAATTTGCATCATACAATTTCACTTTAAAAAATTAAGTATAATCTGTCATTTATCTGCCACATACAGAAACCTAAAAGTCTGACGGTAAAAATCAAAAGTTCATATTCTTTTGTTTTTGTTGTTTATGTTGTATACTTTTTTTTGTAAAAGTAACCGAGTCTATGAAATATCTAGAAAAAGAATAAAGATTGAGCTGGCTGATTTATGTGAGTTTTGACCTACAAATTTCTGATAGATTCTATCAGCTCAGCCTCAGAAATTAGAGTTGTAAGATAGAGAAAAGTTACAAAAATAGCAATTTGAATTTTCTGCTTGTGTGATTTGTTACATTTAATTGAAGGGAAATGAATATGTTATCTAAACATACTGATCTTGATAAATTTTCCCTAGCTAAATATGGTTGATCTTCCTAGGAATCATTCACTCTTCTAATTGAAGAATCCTATATATTAAATCCTTCAGTGCTATTAGTGGAATCTGAAATTTTAACATTGTATTATTTAATCTCAATCAGGTAGTAGATATACTATGTAAGAGTATATGAAGCATTAAGAAAATATATGTGTCTGGGAAGTTCAAGAGAAAAAAATAATATTGTGAGTGTCTAAAAAAGGGAATCCCCTCTTTTACTTTCAGGGCCACATGAAGTATAAAAATATGATTAACATAATGGTCCACATGTGGGACCTTTAGCATCTCTTATATGGAGATGTAAGAAATTGTGTAGGAAGAGAGAGACACTGAAAAGTCTCTTTAAAACAAGTTCATGGAAAGATAATATTAAGAAAAATAAAGTTCTGTAGTATTAAGGAATACTAACCCAGCAGTGTTTTAGTTAAGTGCATATAATTGCTGACCCACTGGCATTATTTAGTGTCATTGATAACAAGTGGCACTTGGAACATGTGCCATTGTAGGTTTGCACAGTAGAGTGTTCTACACGGAGCCTGAGTCAAGAATCAGAACACTGGGTCATGTCTTGGATTTGCTGCCCACTCTATCTGTAAGTTTGGTAAACGAGTGCTTGCTGTGTCTTCGTCTTCTCTTGTGTGATTGAATTAAGTTGATCCTAATGACCCACCCAACCAGAACATCCTCTGTCCATAAAGAAGTCCGTATGTGGACCCTCCCTAGTGGTGCAACACTATGAAGCTGTCCGCAGCCACTGCAATCACAAGTTCAATCCCTAGTCAGAGAGGTGACCCACATGGCATGGCAGACCTCCCCTGACCTGCCCGATGCTTCCAGCAGTGTGTTTCAGTTATCTACCTGTTCTGCTCCCCACTCTATCTCTGGTGAATCCTCTCACCCTCTATAATTCTGGCCTGTACCCCAGGTCTTGTGTTCATAAATAAATCTTTAAAAACTGAAGTCCGTATGACTTCTAATGAGCTAACAAGATCCAATCCAGTGCTACAAAATATGAGTGAAAAAATATAGCAAATTTATATATATATTACAGAAATCCACAGCAGAACAGAGTTTTCAGTGTAGTTAATGTTAATGATTATAAAGTCAGTTGGGGACATTTATGCTGAGGGGGGAACAAGAAGGGGAAGAAAAGATAATGTTACCTCACCCACATCTTCCAAAAATCCAGATATCCCAGTGCTTTAAATAATGTTTTAATATGATACACAAGTGTTATATGACTCAAATAGATCACAGTAAGTAAGCAAACACACATGTCTCTATGAACTGGACTAGTAGAAAGATGAAATTTGAAGCATTTAAGTAGCTTGTCTGTGTGCCAGCTTCATAAGACAGTATTGAACACTGTTGAAAGATTCAACTAAAAATGTACAGGAAAAAGTGCCCCCACCACCATCACCACACACACACAAGTTCATGGTTAGCCTTCAATTAAACACTTTCCTGCTATTGTTAGGTCTCACAGAGATCGCTCGGTTGAGCATAGACTCTTCAAGTAGACTCTGAACACTGCGCTCTAATTTCTAATTATTTTATTTCAGATCAGTGTTTTATCATGAAAAGATTTCGCATGTGAACAGGCTGAAATAATGGACCTGTAAACAGTAATAACAGGATCATACTCTTTCGTAGCCACCTTGATGTACTTCATTTGGTCCTCACAATTAGAGTTGAGGGGGGCAGAGCAGATTACCTTTCCTCACCCTCTTTCAACTCCGAGAAAACATGGCTTTCCCAAGACCACAAAACTTTCAAGCTTCCACCTTCGCTAGAGTGACCCCAAGGTCCTTGTATGTCGTCCCCTCCTCTGGGGCCCAGCATCCCGTTCTCCTCCAGGAAGCCATTTCAGGCTCAGATAGAACATGTTGTCCCACTTGAGTTAACAGTTTAACTACTTGTTTATTTATCTTACCGAGTGTTCATCCTTATGACCCTAATTATTTTTTAGCCTTTATGTTCGTGTTTTGCCATGGGGTGGTATTAAGAAAATAATGGTAGAATTGAATCTGACTCAAATGCTAAACTTCTTCTATTAATCTAGGTAGAGCTTACTATTTCTAGAACCCAGATCCACTTCCACAGAAGTCATAGCCCTATGTAGATTTGTCAGCTACCATTTTCATCAAGTTGGTAAATTAACCCACAACTTGCACTTTAAAGAGCATCTAGTTCTTTAATTTACTGTGTCTGAATTATTTAAAAACACCTTCAAATGATATGGGGCATGGAAGTCATAGCAAGGAATCTAGTCAGTGTGCTCAGACTGTCAGAATCTCAGAACTGCAAAGAACCTGGGGCCCTAATCCAGGTTCTCTCTGCCTGTAGATAAACTAACTGAGGATCAAGGTGAAATTTCAAGATTTAGCCTCCGTTCACGCAGCTTGTGAGTGGCTAAGCCAGCAAATGAGCCGATGTCTTCTAGCTATGTTTCCACACAAGCACTGTAACTGCATTAGTGTTTAAAGTATTGGAATTCTAACTACTGATATTTCTCATAAAAATTCCATTTGCATTATATATTTATTTGCATCTGTAATAAATGAACTCATCACAAATATAAGCAGTCTAAGAAGTATTTGACAGTTTTAAAAAATGCTAGATGTCAGATAACCTGAGTATAGCATCCGGCACTCATTCGCCATCAGTGCAGATTTTTACTTAACTCTTCGGACCACAACCTTGATTCTCACTTTCTTTTCTTTATCAATATTAGAACTACTGAGCAGATTTCCAAAACGAATCCACTAAATGGAGTAGAGGGGTAGGAGGAGGACAGTCTGAAAAATATGAAGTGATTAAAAAACATTGTTCTAACTAGTTGTTCAAATTCAAAAAAAAAAAATTTTAAAACCCAATTAGAAACAAAAGTCATAGAAAATGTGAACATATTGTGTTCCTTAAATAACCAGATGTTCACTCCTTCCTGAAGGCAGTAAGGGCTAGGAATAAAAGGTTTAAAACTATTGTTTTAAGTTAACTGTGAATTTTGCAAATCTGTTTTTACCCTTTAGCAAATAAAATTCTAATACGGAAACATAAGCAAAGTAATTTTCATTTTTTGGTGCTTTCTTATTTGTGTTGTGTGTTGAAGTGTTAACCTTATCACAAAGACTTATTACCAATGAAATACAGTACATGGATTAACATTTTAGATTATGCAGTAAGAATTTGACAGCTACTGTTTGTTTTGGAGACTAGAATATTCAAAAAAAAAATATCTCTGGTAAGTGTGTAAGCAACCCTCTTAGCAGTGACTGTTAATGTTTATAGAAGAAAATTGCTAGAAATAAGACCATTTAATTTCATAGTCATTCTTGTACAGAAAGACACACTATAAAAATATAGCATTCATTGTTCTTGTGCTTGGCCAATTCTGACTTGGCTTTTGTTTGGAATTATATTAAATTTTGCCTTTTTAAATTATACAAAGTCTGAATAATCAGATTTTATGCAGGTATTGTGTTTTTAATCTCTGAATTCAAAAAACTCCACTGTGCTTGTAACTTTTTAAAAATGTCAGATGGTTTGGGGAAAATGTCATATATCAGCATTGAAAAGTGGCACGTGGACTCCAGCCTCCTCCTTCGGG